ATATAATAAAATCCAAGGCCTATCTTTGGACGGGCACAGATGAGTGTCAGTCCAAACGCTTACCACCAACCGAAAGGTGCTTCCTGTGTCCTCTGTTGCTTTTAGCCATACTTGACGTCATCACTGCTGTACTACTCTCATCATGACGGAGAAGAAAATGCGGTTAAAGGAGCTGAAAAGGAAAAATGTTATGGATTCCATTCAACGCATTAACGACTTCTTGCAGAATTTCAACGCGGAACGAGACACGAATGAAGTAGCGATACGTCTGGCTAGACTGGATACGTTAATGGAAGCGTTCGAATCGATTCAGGGCGAGTATGAAGCATTTGACGACACTGCCGAATTTGTGGCGGCTAATGCAAAGGTAAGAACGAAAGTGGAAGAGCGGTTCTTTCGGGTAAAAGGTGGCCTCGTCATGAAGATCCCCCCCTTCCTCCAAACCCAGTGGATGGTCAGATCTAGCAAGGGGTCCTAGCCATTGCTCATGTTACCGGCGTGAAGCTTCCTGCCATTGAATTACCACGGTTCGATGGCGACCTTAACGAGTGGTTGACATTCCATGACTCGTTTTCCTCGTTAATTCACTCGTCACCAGAGATACCCTGCATCCAAAAATTCCAGTATTTGCGCTCGGCCTTGCGAGGTGATGCCCTGAAGTTGATTGAGTCCTTAACAATTACGGCGAACAATAATGCGGTTGCTTGGGAAGCCCTACTAAACCGCTATTCTAACACCTATTTGCTGGAAAAGAAGCATCTTCAGTCATTGATGGTCCACACGAAGGTGTCGGGAAAGTTTGCTGCAGGTCTTCGGGTTGTTGTAGAAGATTTCCAGCGCCATGTAAAAATATTGAATCAGCTGGGAGAACCTACACCACATTGGGGTAGTCTTCTTGTTCAACTGTTGTGTTCCCGAGTCGATGACCACACGCTGAAGGAATGGGAAGAATTTGTCTCTGCGAATGAGGAACCAACGTACAACAATCTCATTGAATTTCTAACTCGAAAGATTCGGACTCTGGAGTCGTTGTATATCTCGGCTGAGCAGTCCAATTCATCTCCCCAAGGAAAACACTGTCAGGCAACCAAAACACCAAACCTCAACATCTCCTAAGATCAACTCCTATTCAACAGTAGAAGATTACCAACCTGGGTGTCTAGCTTGCAGTGATCATCATCCGTTGGTTAAATGTCCAGTGTTCGAGAAGATGCAGCTGAAAGACCGTTTACACTTGGTCAACACGAAACGGATTTTCAGCAATTGCTTTAGGAGCAACCACTTCGCACGAAATTGTGCCTCCAATTTTTCCTGCAGACACTGCCAAATAAGGCATCACTCGATGTTACATCCTGGTTTCGATGCGTCAGGAACAACTAGTAGCAATCCCAACTCCAGTTGTCAACCTGTTCGAACAATTTCCAATCCTCCAAAGTCCAAGGAACCATCTGCTACAACTTCTGGTTGTTCGAACACACTTTCTTCCAATTTGGTGATAGAACCCCATGGCATGAACACAGACAAACAGACGTAACTCTTTGAAAAAGTTTTTCTTGAAAACATAGTATCTCAAAACATAGGTCCTCAGTAACGACATCTCTCTGGCTTCTCGCGGAAAACAAGCTTGCTCGCTAACTCGCAAACAATATTGCATAAAAGTTCTATAGAATGTATAGAAACGTCAAAGTGATCCGATGCCAGCGCTGCGGCGAGTAGTTCGTGGAACTGATAATATTCAAATCAACCGTTAAATACGTGAACGAAGATACACAATGAAGTGTTACGTCTGTTTGTCTGTGGCATGAACGTTTTCCTATCGACCGTCGTCGCCAAGGTACTGGATGGTTATGGAAACGAACATTTGGCCCGGGCTCTTTTAGACAGTGGATCACAAAGCAGTTTAATGAGCAACCGGCTTTGTCAAAAGCTTCGATTGTTTCGGCATCGTATTGATCAGCCCATTCTCGGCATTGGCGAATCTCCAATTCGAGCAGTTTGTTCGGTTTCTACCGAAGTTAGATCTAGAGTAGGTGATTTCTCCATTCCTCTCAATTGCTTGGTGCTTAGAAAGTTAACTGTCGACCTCCCGGCTGTGACCATCCCTACAGCAAACTGGAATATACCGAGCGACATCACTCTCGCTGACCCTGAGTTCAATGTTGCACGGAAGGTGGACCTGGTCATTGGTTTGGAACATTTTTACGTAATTCTACAAGGTGGCCCGCTGCAAATTAACCCACAAGGACCAACCTTTGTTGAGAGTAGGTTTGGATGGTTTGTTTCAGGAAAGTCTTCCTACCACCCAATGCCCCAAGCTCTGGTATGTTGTACATCTACTCTAGAAAGCCTTAATCGGAACATCGAGAAGTTTTGGAAATTAGAGGAATTGGACAAAGTCACGCTTTCACCCAGCGATCATTTCTGCGAAAAGTTCTACAAGGAGACGGTCACAAGAGATTCCACTGGGCGCTACACGGTGAAATATCCCAAGAAAAAAGGTTTCCAAACACTGATAGGCGAGTCTTTTACCAACGCAAAATCACGGATAGAAAGTTTAGAGCGTAAACTGGACAAAAACCCCATTTTGAAGGAAAGGTACCATGCATTTATGGCAGAATTTATTGAATTGGGACATATGCGAGAGGTACCTGCGGATCAACCCGATCCTGTTACCGTTTGTTGTCCTCCCCACCATGCGGTTCTGAAATAGTCAAGCACAACGACCAAGGTGCGGAGCGTGTTTGACGCTTCTGCCAAAACAAGCACTGGATTTTCCCTCAACGATTCTTTGCTAGTCGGGCCTGTCATCCAAGATGAGCTGTTGGACATCCTGATCCGCTTCCGCAAAAATTTGATTGTCCTGTTAGCCGACATAGAAAAAATGTATCGGCAAGTTGGAATCCATCCAGACGATCGTCCGCTCCTGCGTGTGTTGTGGCGGTTCAACCAGAATGACTCTATCACTAAATATGAGATGACCACAGTGACTTATGGATTGGGTCCATCGTCTTTTTTGGCGACACGAATACTATATCAGCTTGCCGAAGATGAAGGTGAGTCGTTTCCTCTCGCCGCAGCAGCCGTGAAGCGAGATTTCTATATGGATGATTTTGTTAGGAGCGAAGAGAGTATCACAACAGCGATCCAGTTGCGTAAAGAGATGGATGAGTTGCTGAGCCGTGGAGGATTTTCCCTGAGGAAGTGGTGCTCAAACTTTCCCGAGGTCTTGGAAGGAGTTTCGCCCGAAAATGTAGCCCATCAACCAAACCGAATACGCGGTCCTGGAGAAGTTGTAAAGGCCTTAGGAATTGCTTGGGAGCCTGCAACCGATCTATTCTGCTTCAATTTTGGCCCATTTCTACGGACGGCCGAATCACCAAAAATCGTATTTTTTCGGTAATCGCCCAACTATATGACTCTTTGGGATTAATCGCACCTATCGTCGTAAGCGCTAAGATACTCATTCAGCAGCTTTGGATGATGTCAATTGATTGGAATGAGGAAGTACCTGGAGAGATCCGGATTATGTGGGAACGTTTTGTGGAGGACCTATCATCGTTAGCCAATTTTCGGATTCCACGGTTTGCCTTTGACGTGGGGGAAGTGCAGCTGCATTGCTTCACGGATGCGTCGGAGTAAGCTTATGGAGCTTGTGTTTATGCACGGACTAGCAAGAACAACGAACAGGTGAAGGTGATGTTACTGGCAGCGAAATCTAGAGTGGCACCTCTACAGAAACGGTGCATCCCGAGACTGGAATTATGCGCCGCTCAACTTGGCGCTCGATTATCTTCTAGAGTCATCACTGCACTGAATATGGAATCAATTCCTGTTTTCTATTGGACTGACTCCATGGTGGTTGTATATTGGCTTCGTGCACCACCACAGACCTGGAAAACATTTGTGGCGAATCGTGTAGCAGACATTCAAACCCTAACGAACAATGCTTCATGGCTACACGTACCCGGTGTGGATAACCCAGCCGATTTAGTATCCCGAGGAATGACTGTGCCGCAGTTCTTGACCAGCAAGAAGTGGATACATGGACCCGATTGGTTGAAAAGGAGAGAGGAATATTGGCCTGAATTGGATACCCCGAGAACAACACATATTGATGGAGATACTGAGCGGAAAACAATCACATTGCTGATGCAAAATCCACCACCACTAAACCCTTTGTTTACTCGATCGTTTTCTTACAACCGTCTATTGCGTACGACTGCGTATTGTTTGCGATTTATTCGTCATGCAAGAAAGGGAATGAAAGAAGCTATCATCACCCTTGCTCCTAGTGAACTTGAAAATGCAAGGGATTGTTTGGTTAAGATTGTCCAAGCTGACTGCTTTAAATCCGAGTTGAGTCTGCTCAAAAAGGGAAAACCGGTATCCAAAAGCTCCTCACTCACACTTCTGAACCCTTTCGTGGATTCATCGGGGATAATCCGAGTCGGTGGCCGGCTCAGACTGTCGAAGGAGTCTTACAGTACCAAACACCAAATTCTACTACCTGCTTTCCACCGATTTATCAGAATGCTTTTGATGTCATACCACTGCAAATTGGTTCATGGTGGAATATCGCTCACTTTGGGAGTAGTCCGTAACGAATATTGGCCTACAAATGGAAGAAGGGCTGTACGCAGCGTAGTACGAACTTGCTATCGTTGTACTCGTGCCAACCCTCGCCCACTGCAACTGGACAACTACCCCTTGCTAGAATTATCTCAAGCCGCCCTTTCGCATCCACTGGAATCGATTATTGTGGTCCTGTGTTTGTTAAGTCCGCCAACCGCAAGACTGCTCCTACCAAAGCTTATATTGCCATATTTGTCTGCTTCAGTACAAAGGCTGTACATATTGAGTTGGTGGGAGATTTATCCACACCTTCGTTTCTGTCTGCTCTTCAACGCTTCGTGACTAGACGTGGTAAGCCCACCGATGTTTATTCGGACAATGCCACGAATTTTGTCGGCGCCAAAAATGAGCTACATGCCCTTTACCAAATGCTCTCCAATACAAACGAAACTACTCGAATTGCTACCACCCTTGCAACTGAAGGAATACGATGGCACATGATCCCACCTCGTGCCCCAAACTTCGGTGGTCTATGGGAAGCCGCTGTGAAGGTGGCGAAGAAACATCTAGTTCGTCAGTTAGGCAACACATCTCTACTGTACGAGGACCTAGTGACGATACTGTCGCAGATTGAAGGAGCCATGAACTCAAGGCCATTGGCACAGTTGTCAGAGGACCCTAATGACTTCGAAGCCATCACTCCAAACCATTTTTTGATTGGCTCACCACTTCTGGCCCTCCCCCATCCGGATTTGAAGGACGTTCCGGTAAACCGCCTGAGAAACAGGTACCAAATCATCCAACAGAAGCAACAGCAGTTTTGGTACCACTGGCAGACAGAGTACCTGAAGGAGCTGCAACGGCAGTTTACTAGTAACCAGCGCCAAGTTGATCTCAAGGTCGGCCAAGTGATGATTATGCAAGACAACCTCCTGCCACCCGTGCGCTGGCCACTAGTGCGAATCTTGGAGTTGCATCCTGGACTAGACGGTGTAACACGTGTGGTATCCGTGCTCACATCAACCGGTGTGACGCTGACGCGAGCCGTGACGAAGCTATGTCCGTTACCTATGACGGATGAGGAGGATCGAGATATGCAGGGGAATTCAACCCACAATCCCGATGACATCGCAAAGGAGTCCTCGGAGAGGCTGAATTTGATTAATTTAGCTTAGATACTAGTGGAATGTTTCATTTCAGGTGGCGGGCTATGATTAGTTTTAGATTAGATTAGAATTAATTGGAATCTTTGAAATAGAATCCAGCTACAAGCAAGAAAATCGCAAAGAATAATTTGCCAATGAAACGCACTTCTGTACAGTATTGTTAATCTTTTTTGCGTTGTGGGCACGACGACGGACCATGAGGAGTTCCCTTACAGTACACGCATTTTGGTACAGTGACTGTGCAGGCGCCGTAAAATCACTAAGCTGCTTATCTTAAGAAATAACTAGAATAAATAAAAATATGAATTTTGAAACATTGTTGAAGTTCGTTTCTGTGTGTGTTTTTTTTTAGTTCAGCAACTTTTAATGCATTTTGAATGAGATAAAAGCTTCATATTTTGTAAAAATGTGGAAATAGCGTAAAAAAACCGCGTAAAAACTTCAATTAATCGGTGATAAATTTACATATTTTTATTAAATTTCTGGCTTTGCACCAAAAATAGAGATTATTTTAACCTAAATCAAATAATGCGATTGTCAAAACGTTTAAAACGAACCGCGTTAAATCCGGCGCTAGTTTTAAATAATAAAAATTGCTGACATTTATTCTAACATTTGGCCCGCAGGCCCTAGCATCTCCACCAACAGACTGTTATGTCCATTCACTGAACTATACTGGAACTCTGGGGCTTTAGACGTCGGATAGGTTTAAGGATTAAAACTGAAGTGTTCAGGTTGATGGTCAAAACTAGAGTGCCGACTCGTTTGAATGTTTATTTACAAGAAACCTTTTCAGGTGAGACAGCTATATGTACGCTACTGTTTTTGTCTCTATTATCTTCATGTGTATACGATCAGAACTGTCATTTGACAGGCTTTTACAGTTCTTCCCCTATTAGAAAGATCATTATATAACTTATAACAAATTTTTATATTCTTCTTCTTTCGGTTTCAGCTTATCTTCGATGGTGAACAAATTGAGAACAAATTAAAAATTTATAAATTCAAAGCTCACTAATCTCGAAAAAAAAATAGTTCTTTAAATTTTAACCATAATGAAAGTCACTGTCGACATTCGCCGTTCTTTTCGTCTTCGAACGCCTTAATCCAGATAGTGGAGACTCTGACAAGATATCAGCATGCTTCCTCTTTAAACTGTTCCCAGTTGTCCTTTTCTCCACCTCCGGAAGGCTTCCGAGCTGATCTTCGTTTTGGCCATTTGATTGTCCTACCTTAGGAATTTGATTGGACAACGTTATGTTCGGTCTTAAAAGCACCGCGTTAGTAGTCTTCCGCAGCTGGTTTCGATGGGCCATTAGGCGAACGCTTCCAGTTTCCGTTTCCACCTGTCTCTGACTCGTCGCTGTCTGAGTCCTCTGTCCGCATTCGGCTTAAAAGATCTGCGATGCGGCCATCTTCGCTTGGTCCTGGCTGGTACTGGTCCACCATATTTACTGCATCTCGTTGCATGTTTTTTAGCTTAAAACATTTACGCTGGATGTGTCCTTTCACACCACAGAAGTTGCACGTCATGTCCGCATAATTAGGCTTTTGTCTCCAACCACCCGGCTTGAACTTTTCAGTCTCCCTCCAGTAGTGTCCTCTCGGTCTAACGTTATCATCAAATTTCCTAGTGTATGGTCTATATCCCAATCTATCTTTGATTGGAACACGGGGTGAAACCCGAGTTCCCGAGGTGCCCACGTTAGCTGCATTATAAACTGCGAGCAATTTTTGCATGGTTGATCCAGGTTTTGGAGGTGGTTGCGTCAATGATGCGATCTGACCGTACTGGTCATCGTTAGTTCCACTTAGTTTTTTTGCGTTTTTGTCGGCTATTTCCCACGTCGCAATAATTTTCTCCGCAATCGCAAGAGTAAGCTTTTCTTCACTTAATAATCGTTCCCGAAGGGATTTTTCGCGGAATCCTGCTAAGATGCGGTCCCTTATAGCTAAGTCCTTGAAATCCCCAAAAGAACAAAATTCTGCCTGTAATTTTACAGACAGAACAAAATCTTCAACCGTTCCATCCGGCTGTTGAACACGATTATTAAACTTCAGTCTCTGCATCAGGTCAGACTCAGTTTTATCCAACCTGGTCCGTAGCTTGGCTATCATGTCGTCATAGGACACCGTATTCAAATTACTAGTCGGGAACAAAAGTTTCAGTTCATGAAATATAACTGGGCCACTAAGGGTTACAAAGTATGCCCTTTTAGTCTCAATGGAAACTTTGTTCAAGGCAAAATAAAACTCCAGGCGCTCTACCCATTCCCCGAAAGGCATACCCTTACGGTAGGGTTCAATAGTAGCTGTCACATTCACATTAGCCATTTTATGTTGTAAGGAGTTTAAACTCACTAACCCAGTTGGACACTGCAAGAGCGAGTTAATCCTGCACTCACCAACTATCGTAAATATGAAATTAACACCACGACAGTTTTGATACTGTAAAACGCACCGTCAATTTTCCTCGGGTTGCTGTACACCTGGATCCTATAACTGAGATAGCAGCTTTCCACGGTTGATTCGATTTAGTTCGCCACAAAAGAACAACGGCAGCAGATATTACCACCGCAGGATAGAAACACTAATGAGTTGCAGAGCAGCCGTACTACGCTGGCTATTATTAGGCGGCCGGAGACCAAAGCAGCAAATAAATTTTACCGGATGGTGATAACAGGTACAGATGCGCTCTAGTGGAGGATGCGAAATCTTCCTGGAATACACGTATTCGGTTGAGGCTCTCAATGTGTACGAAATGATGTATCTCTGCGAAAAATTCAACGCTGCTTCCCCGCCGAGGACGAGATGATGTTGCTCCGTAATACCTTCGTCCTTCAGAGCACTGGGATGGAACGTGGATCCAAGCGTAAATCCGTGAAGTAGTCACCGTTTCGTTCTTGTCCGGAATATTTAGCACTTTATGCCGCAGTAAGCACTTCAACTTTTCACACGCGAGAAAAATAAATTTTAACCAGTCGTCGCCAAACTGTTATGTCCACTCACTGAACTATACTGGAACCATGCATGTCTAAACGCAACACTACACTGTGTACTGCCTTTTTTACACACCACCAAGAGCATTGAGTTGTACGCTCCGTACCAGTGCTCGATAGAAAACACCAAAAGCAGCAAACAAGGCACTGGTACCGGTGCCCGTGTTTGCACCGGTGTATGGATCTTCGGCAAGCACCAAAGCCGAGTGTTTCTGACTTCGGCAAACACCGCAGCCGAGTGTTTTCGATTTCGGAAAACACGCTTGCTGCTCGCAGGAGTTTTCTTTGGGCGACTTATGAAAGATTCTGCTGTTCCACAAGGTAGCTTTTCAACGCGTCTAGAGCTGATAGATAAGTGGTCGAAGCACTGGTCTCATAATGCCAATGTCCATGGTGTTCGATTCCGGTATGTCCCTCACCATTTTTTTCTGTCTACATTATTTTCAAAAGGTAATCTTATTTCATAGATTTCGATTTCTTTTTGGCTAAAAAGCATTACGCAATCTTATGAATCTTATAAGCTCAAAGGATCATCAACAAGGATTATTAAAAATACGTAAATCACCCACTTCGAAAGAGCGTGTTTCTGTTGCCGTCCACCCACTGGTATTTCTTGGCTTTTTGTTAACTAATTGAGCTGATTGTTTTCACACGATTTGAGTGTGATCAATCAGCAAAAATTATACCCAACAACAACAAAACAGCTACCATGGCTGATATGGAGCTAGTACCTAGGAGGTAGAATGCGATCCTTCTTGAGCGCGTTGTTTTTATTTAGGGGAAAACAGCCCAAAATGCACCTCGCGGAAATCGCTCGATGCAATTTTTCATAGCATTCCCGTTTTTAATTCATAAATTTGGCAAGTTACAGTGCTAGTTTAGTACTTTACCTAGCATTTCGGCAAAATTAATAGTGGAATAGCCATGAAAAATCAAACCGGGCGTTTGGCCCGGGGTGCATTTCGGGCTGTTCTACCCTACATGAATGGTGAGTAGTTCTGTTCACCCACCACTGTTTGGGTGTTTACATCTGTGCTGGTATGCTGATGCTAGTGAACTAAAGCTGTACTTATAAATAGTCGTCAGCATCGTCAACGTCTGCATCTACCAGCATGAGATTACAGGAGCCTCTGAAATTCGTGCTAGTTAGTTGAGTTGGTTGAGCTTTTTATATTATTTATTATCTAATAGTGAACCAGCATATAATATATTACATATTATGTAAACACCCCATATATCTTTATTATTATTCAATCAGTTGAGCTGTTTGGTTTGGTTGGAGATAAGTTATGATTATTATATTGACTCTAATCAAATTAAATCAATCAGCTAAATTATTTAATACAAAGCCAAGAAATAACACGCTCTTCCGAAGTGGGTGATTTGTGTATTTTTAATAATCCTGGTAAAGGGTGATACGGTCAAAATTTGGTCAAGGGAAAACGCGTGTAAATCGGTGAAATCGTTTATTTAAAAAATCAAATTAAATTTCTTTTTCAAGTTCAATTAGTATAAAATTCAGGAAAAATATTCAGTTAGGCTTCCGCTTTTCCAAATCCGAATTGCCGGGCCTTACGCTTGACCCCTGCCATCAGATTTTGTACAGCCACCTTGTCCACCTTCTTCGCCGCAGAAAGCCAGTTTGCCTTGAACTGCTGCTCGCCCTTAGCATATTTTTGGTCTTCTTTAGGTTCCGCTTGACAATAGCCCAGTATTTCTCAATTGGGCGGAGCTCTGGCGTGCTGGGAGGGTACTTGTCCTTAGGAACCACCTGCACGTTGTTGGCGGCGTACCACTCCATGGCCTTTTTACCGTAATGGCAAGATGCCAAATCCGGCCAAAACAGTACGGAACAACCGTGTTTCTTCAGGAAAGGCAGCAGACGTTTATTCAAACACTCTTTCACGTAAATTTCTTGGTTGACAGTCCCGGAAGCTATGAAAATGCTGCTTTTCAAGCCACAGGTACAGATGGCTTGCCAAACCAGATATTTCTTTGCGAACTTTGACAGTTTCATGTGCTTGAAAACATCTGCTACCTTTCCCCTTCTTTTTGCCGTATAAAACTCCTGTCCCGGAAGCTGCTTGTAGTCGGCTTTGACGTAGGTTTCGTCGTCCATTACCACGCAGTCAAACTTCGTCAGCATCGTCGTGTACAGCCTCCGGGATCGCGCTTTGGCCGTCGTATTTTGTTTATCATCGCGATTTGGAGTCACTACCTTCTTGTAAGTCGATAGTCCGGCTCGTTTTTTGGCTCGATGCACGGTTGTAGACGATACACCCAGCTTATTTGCGGCATCTCGGAGAGAGAGGTTAGGGTTTCGCTTGAAACTACCGGCAACTCTCTTTGTCGTCTCTGCGGCTTCCGGTTTTCGATTTCCCCCCGATCCAGACTTCCTGGCTGTCGACAAACGTTCCCCAAACACTTTAATTACATTTGTAACGGTTGATTTGGCAACTTTTAGCGATTTTGCCAACTTTGCGTGCGAGTAGCTCGGATTTTCGCGATGCGCGAGCAAAATTTTGATACGCTGCTCTTCTTGCTTGGACGGCATTTTGACAACTGAAGAGTGAATTCCAAAATCAAAATAGGAGAAACATTCTACACACACACACCTTCAAAATGAGGGGTGTTCAGGTTTTTTAAATGCAAAATTGAAAGAAATACGTCAAGTTGATATTGACCAAATTTTGACCGTATCACCCTTTAGATGATCCCTTGAGCTCATAAGCTTGCGTAATGCTTTTTAGCCAAAATAAATCGAAATGAATTTCATAGATTTACCTCATGAAAATATTGTTGACAAGAAAAAAAAACTGGAAGAGGGACACAGACTGGAAACGAACCATGGACATTGGTATCATGAAAAAAATGTTTGACCACTCGTCTATCAACTCTGCTCAATACAGATGATGCTAAACGCGTTAAACAGCTACGATAATCTTTCTGAAGTCGCCTAAAGAAAATTCCTACGAGCATCAAGCGTGTTTTCCGAAATCAAAAACACTCGGCTGCGGTGTTTCCCGAAGTCAGAAACACTCGGCTTTGGTGCTTACCGAAGCATCCATACACCGGTGCAAACAATTATGCACGGGCACCGGTACCGGTGCCTTGTTCGCTGCGTTTGGTGTTTTCTATCGAGCACTGGTACAGAGCGTAAAACTGGTGGTGTGTTTGTAGGCAAAACTGCCACCCGTGCAAAAGGGTTCAGTGTTTTTACCATGGCTGACTGGAACTCTGGGGCTTTGGACGTCGGATAGGTTTAAGGATTAAAAGTGAAGTGTTCAGGTTGATGGTCAAAACTAGAATGCCGACTCGTTTGAATGTTTATTTACAAGAAACCTTTTCAGGTGAGACAGCTATATGTACGCTACTGTTTTTGTCTCTATTATCTTCATGTGTATACGATCAGAACTGTCATTTGACAGGCTACTACACAGACAAAATTGGAAAAATGTCCCCGTGTTAAAAAAAAAGGGTTGGGTGTACTTCTAATGCGACTTATTTTAGAAAGCTCATATTTTTCGTCATCATCTCCCCGTGTTGTTTATTTACTCATCTTATCCCAGAAGATGAAGCAATCAATGGCTTCCGGCAAAACCTCTAGAGTGGCCTTCCCCATAGACAGTGTCGATATCAATATCCTCTTTCTTCGAACACCATTGAAAAGCTGCCACTTGATCGGGTCCAATACCTACTCGAAGATCTTTTCTTGGCTTCTCTGTGAGAAAAAAAAATCGAAGCGAAAATAAAAAATCTAGATAAGAAAACCAGATGGAAATTCATCCTGAAAAGAAGGGAAACTTGTTTTCTTTTTCCTTCGTTTGGGCAAAAGCACCCTCAGCTCCGGCTGACTGAAGATGTTGTTGCTGAAATAATTTCTTTATCCCATAGAAACGACGGAGGTAGGTAGCCCAAAATAAACTGAAACGTTTTGCTGTTGAGTCTGCCAGGGACAAGAAGGACCTCGAATGAGTGCCTATACAGTAAAATGGCTTATAAATCCCGTTAAAAGGAACCATATTAGCGTGTTTTCCACTGCTGCATGGATGGAGGCAATAACTGAGTACGGTCACGGTCGGTCGGACGGGCGAAGCTATCTTCGAGATGTCCACTCAAGTGGCTCTCCACTTAAGCAACTGCTGCTCTGCGGCGGCAATTGGCGAACAATGGGGTTTCACTTTGGTGAGTTCATTTGAGTGGAAGTCCTTTCCGTGGCGCATGTTAAGATTATATTGCTATTAGCTTGGGAGTAATTCTCCAAGTTGTCAGAAAATATCAAACTTGAAATGGTCTCGAATTGATATCCAAATTGTGTTTCGAGTTCTCACCATT